TGAATATTCCAAATGAAAGAGGAACCATGTTAACTCGTACTCATTAGTTTTATATAATATAAAACCAATATTGGTAAAAATTATTTCTACGTGTGTATTGATGAAACCACTGATTCGTCAGAAAGATATATGGCTCATTTCTTCTTCTTATAATGCCGTGCACCTATAGTGCGTCGGCGAATTATCTTAAGGCCAGACGTCTGTCTCTTGCGGCATGAAAAAGATCGCCAGTGTTATTTATGCCTGTTTAGTTCTTTCTGTTCCGTAACCGTGACATGTGTTTGCGACCTACTTTGCTCTTTCCATCAATCTTTCCCTGGATGATAAGTTGAGAGATTACGTATTTTTTTTTGATCACATTGACTAGTTCTCTCTCAGTATTTGCCTTTTCTTAAGACTTCCTCGTTTCTTATCCTATCTGTCCATGGTATGCGGAACATTCTTCGCAACGTCCACATTTCGAAGGTCTCCAACTTATTAATGGAAGGTACTGTTAACGTCCATGTTTCTATGCCATATAACAATATGGGCCATACATAGCATTTAACCATCCTGTCGCGGAGATTGAAGGAAAAATTGCGGTTACATAGTAGCGGTTTAAATTTGATAAAAGCTTGTCTTGCTTGTTCGGTACGGAATTTATTTCTTGTTGAGGATCCAATTCATCGATTGGAGCATTATCTACTTGCAGTTGTATTCTTAAAAGTGCTTTTTTATTGCCATGCATTTAGTTTTTTCAGTATTTATCTTCAAGCCATATATTTTTTCTATCGCTCATTTAATGATTGGTATTCTAAGAGATCAGATCTTAGCAGAATCCCATTTAATTTCATGAAAGCAACTAGAAGAAACCAAATTTGCAACAATATCTTCCGCTGCAATACCTCAGCTTGTTTCTTGTTATTGGTCATAGAAGGTTTTGTTTTTTTTTGAAGTGTGGATTTTCACTAGCTTTTCAGTGAGCCTACTTACAACCGTGTGAGAAAATAAAATACCAGAGTTACTATAAATGTTTAAAAACTAATAAGTCAGCCTTTTCACCGTTTTTAATAACAAATTAAATAAAACGTTAAGGTTTTTTTAATGAACCTTATAAATAGAGCCTTAAAGAAACAATTGCGATTTATAAAATATCTCTAGGGTGAAAGTTTGGGACAGGAATTGGTTTAAATAATCGTTCTCCGGGACAAACAAATGTAATAATTTATTTGGTCAATGCAACTATTTGGTCGCACTCTGTGAAATTTGGGATACTTGAATAATTTATTAACTACCGCAATTTTAATAAATTATATTACATGTTCATACACATTCTAAGACTCTTTAATAAAATATACGAAACAGGACATATACCAACAGACTGGCTACTGTCAACATTTGGTATGATACCGACAAATATAAATGCCAAATAGTGTAGCGATCATCGCACTATCAGTCTGATGAGTCATGTACTGAAAATTTTCCTAAGAATACTGCACTCGAGAATTTACAACAAAATAGAAGTACAACTAAGTGAAACACAATCCAGCAGGCAACTAGCGGAAAAAATCTTTACACAAAATAAAATCGAATGGGCAGTTAAAAGCTTTAAACCTTTTAAATCCACTAGTAAGGACGGAATATTTCCTGCTTTACTCCAAAAAGGCTTCATGCAAATACAGCCGCAACTACAGCGGCTCTTCATAGCAAGCCTAGTGTTAGGTCACATTCGAAAAACTTGGAGGGACGCAAAGGTAGTATTTATACCAAAGGCGGGGAAACGTCCTATGAACGAAGCGAAGTCTTATCGTCCTATATGCCTGACCTCCTTTCTCCTAAAAACAATGGAAAAACTAGTAGATTCCTACATAAGAAGCGAAACTTTAGCGAGAAATCCACTTCACAAACATCAGTTTGCCTACCAGACTGGCAAATCCACTATAAATGCTCTGAATTCGCTAGTCGAAGGAATTTAAAAGACAATAGTGGCAAAAGAAATAGCTCTTTGCGCTTTTATTGACATAGAGGGAGCATTCAATAATACCTCATTTGAATCCATAAAAAGAGCACTAGTAAAGAGAAGCATTGAAGTCTCACTAATGCAATGGATTCAGTCAATGCTAAAAACGAGAATCATCACTGCTAGTATTGGAGGAGAATCTGTGGCTGTGACAGCGGTAAAGGGGTGCCGTCAAGGGGGAGTATTATCGCCTCTACTGTGGTCTTTGGTTGTGGATGACCTCCTCACTAAGCTAGTGAGGTGACCTTCTTCTTCTTCTTCTTCTTAAGGTGCCTTCTCCATTACTGAAGGTTGGCTATAACTACAGCAAATTGCTCTCTATCTTGAGCTGTTCTTAGTATCGCATGTGTGTCCATGCCTGTCCAGTCTCTTATGTTCTTCAACCAGGAGCATTTTCTTCTTCCTGGACCTCTTCTTCCTTCCACTTTCCCTTCCATTATAAGTCGTAGGAAGTTGTATTTTTCTCCTCTGTAGATATGTCCTAAATAACTCGTTTTTCGGTTTTTTACAATATTTAGGAGTTCTCTGTCAGTACCCATTCTTCTTAGCACCTCGTTGTTGGTCACGTGCTCTGTCCAAGAGATCTTCAGCATTCTTCGAAAAACCCACATCTCAAAGGCTTCTATACGCCTCATACTTGTAATTCCGAGAGTCCATGTTTCCACTCCGTATAGCAATATGGAATAAATAAACGTTTTTACAAATTGGTATCGGATGTCCAACGATAACGTAGAGTTTATTAGAAATGAGGTGACCTAGTTGTTTCAATTAGGGGCAAGCATGACCAGACTATATCTAGTCTCATGCAAACTGCTCTTAACGAAATTAAAAGTTGGTGCTCGAAAGAGGGCTTACGTGTCAACCATAGCAAAACGACTTTGATACCTTTCACAAGGAGACGTAAATACAATTTACAGGCTCCAACTATGAATGGCATCACATTAGACTATTCCAAGGAAGTTAAATATCTGGGGGTAACCGTAGATCAAAAACTCACCTGGAATAGTCATATTGAAAAAATTTTATCCAGAGCTTTGGTGACAAGTTGGACCTGCCGCAAGACGTTTGGAAAGACTTGGGGCCTACAACCGAAAATGACTCTCTGGTCATATAAAACAATAATTAGGCCCATGGTCACACACGCATCATTCGTATGGTGGCCAAAAACACAACAAACAACAGCTAACGCCAAGCTGCAAAAAGTGCAGCGGCTAGCTTGTCTGGGAATCACAAGGGCAATGTCAACATGCCCCACTGCAGCTCTAGAGGCGATGCTGAACCCTCCCTTGCAGTTCTGCATAAGGAGGGAGGCAGTAACTACCACCTTAAAACTGCGACAGACACAAATAATAAAACTTCGACAGTCAAATTCGACTTTGAAACACCCTTTTAAGTGGTCATAAAAAACCACCAAATGGGTGAAGAAATTGAGCCAAAAATGGAAGAAGGTTCACTCGTATGGTATACGGATGGACCTAAGATAGATGAAAGGGCAGGAGTGGGAGTTACTGGGCCCAATTTCAGGCTATCTAAATCCCTTGGAAACGCCCCAACTATCTTCCAGGCAGAAATACATGCTACAGACATAAGTGCCCAAGAATGTCTTAACCGAGACACCCGTAGGGCAAAGGATACCCTTAAAGGCTCTAACGTCGTTTACATGTGAGTCAAAGTTGGTTTGGGACTGTAAACAATCTATCAAGAAGCTGGCAAAACGCAACAGTGTAACTGTGATGTGGGTGAAAGGTCACAAGGGAATTGCAGGAAATGAGAAAGCTGACAGCCTCGCAAAAGAAGGAGCTAATACCCCATTCCAGGGTCCGGAACCCTTCTGTAGACTATCGAAAAGCCATATCAGAGAGGAACTCCGTACCTGGGAGCTCAATCAACTAAGATCATATTGGTCTACCACACCAGGACAAAGGCAAGCAAAAAGGCGCATAAAAGTGTCGCCTACTGCAACAAACCGCCTTCTCGAATGAGTAAGAAAGATATCAAAATGGTCACTGGCCTTCTCACTGGTCACTGCCCTCTGAGTATCATCTCAAGAAGATGGGCAAATCAGATAGTGAGAACTGTCGTTTCTGTCACAATGAAAAACAAACGGCAGAACATATACTATGCAACTGCGTAGCACTGTTCTGCAAAAGACTAAAATTCCTAGGAGAGGTCAGTCTGGCGTCCTCTGACATAGGAAATAAGTCACCTAGGAAGCTAATGAACTTTATCAGAAGTATTGGCATTCTAAAGTTGAACTAGATTAAGGTATGCACAAAAGATCTGTACAGGTCGAAGTGCGTTGAGGCCGCATGGCCTTAACGACCTCACATAATCTAATCTAATCTAAGTGAAACACAATTTGGTTTCAGAAACAACCTTGGAACCAGAGAAGCACTCTTTAGTTCAGCAGGTCATGGTTCAAACATGTAGGTATATAGAACAATCTCCAAAATCTGGCTCCAAAATCTCCGAGAATGGTATTAAGAGACCACCGCTAATTTATTTAGAGACGCTGTAAACAAAGTTATTATAGCCAATATGATCTCCAACGTTCGATAATCGGACAGGGCACTGAAATAAGAAGAAAAAGAAGAATATTACATGTGTTGATAAAAAAAACAAAGATAATAATAATTATTAATTACTACAAAAATGAGTGTTTTGATTATTATCTCGGTCAATTTTGCGAAAACTCTCAAAATAAAGAACTTTTTTTGATATATATAAGATTTATTTATAATATAGTTTTCTAGAATTTATGGGCGAAAACTATGTGTTTCACTTTTTAAGATTTAAAAAAAAAACAAAATAAAATCAGATGTTCGTCTTTACGGATTTTTCATCAGCTATCTCTCATACAGCTTTTAGAACCTTCGAATGTCTGTATGAGATTTTTTCAGCTTTTCTTCTTTATTGACGGGTATAAATAAAATTTTAATAAAACATGAGAAGGTAAAACCAAATAAATAATAAAACCAGAAGATTGTTTTTTAATTTTATTATATACAAAATATATACATTAACATATAGCATAAAACCTTATTTATTATTTGATTAAATTTTTCATAGATACATAAAAAATGATAATACATCACATATAAAAGAAAAACAGAAAATTTTGTATTTCTATTTCGTATTTCATATAAATGAAATATATTATAATTTAATACGTTCAAATCCCACATTAATACCTTTGCTTGGTACAAACTGAAATACATTATTATCCAACTTGATAGGTATATCACTTTTTTCAACAGGAACTATTTTAAAATATCTTAAAATGTAGAAAAACAGAATTTTTGTTTCTAAAAGCGCAAATCTGGAGCCGATACAATTCCTAGGTCCCAAACCGAATGGCATATAAGAATAAGGTTTAATATTTGCTTTGTTTTCGTCGCTGAATCTTTCGGGATCAAAAGTTTCGGGATCTGGAAACAATTCAGGATCGTGATGAATGGAGTATATGGGTAGATTTACGAGGTCTCCTGGCTTCAGTTGAACTGGCTTTTCTTCAGGTAGAACTGGTTGAATGGTATATGGTTTGGTGCAGAGCCTGTCCAATGCTGGCATGGCTGGCCATTTTCGTAGACACTCTAAAAAATAAATTAACCAATTTAAACAAGTTGGCATAATAAAGGCTCTAAGATAAATAGAAAGGAAGTGCTGGCCGACCATTTTGACCCATAAAGAAAAACTTAGCCAATGTACCAAAGTAATAATAGGTAAAAGAAGACAGCTGGCGAAAAAATACGGCTCCAACTACACAATAATGAAGAAATTTAATAAAGATATTTACCAGTCAATCCGAAAAGATGTAAGAGAAAACAGTACAAGAGAAATAACTAAATTAATTCAAGAAAACAAAAGTTTTGAGGTGAAATGCAAACAACATACGCAACAAAAATATGTACAAAATAAAAAATAGAAATGGAAACATTATTACTGATAGAACCAAAATCCTTGAGGTTGTCGAATCCTTTTATCGCGAAATGTATGAGAGCACCGACGGAAGGTAAGATCAGCCTCTGCCCAAAATTACAAATCAGGTATGAGAGTTATTGCCAGAAATAACTCCATACGAAATCAAAACGACACTTTTAGAAATAACAAATAACAAATCCCCTGTCAATGACGAGTAGTGATCGAATTCCAAATTCCACTATTTGGAAGAATGATTCATCGTTTAAACGCCGAATATCCTCAAATTTAAATGTACACAGCGGCCCTCAAAAACTACCCGTTTTCTCAATTGCAATTTGCGTTTTCTGATTAGAAATTACAGAATATATAAGTAGTATATTTATTTGTGCTTCTCTATAGAAGACTTGACCAGGAGTTGTCGTACACCGTAGCAAATTCTTGTTCATAATGCAGGCCATTCACGTTCCGACTTGCGGTCCCACTTAGTAGTATACTATTAGTTGGATATTCGTCTCCACTCACGCTCCGACTTTCTATCCAACAAGCGGTCCAACTTCAGTTCAACGTCAAATAAATTTAATTTCCAACTAATATTCAGGCTTTTTTCCAATTAAAATAGTAAATTTTCATAAGATGCCACAACAAAATAACTTCTGAAAAATGTAAGGAAACAGTTGCGTCTAATTTCAGTACAACTATGATTTAATTTTCGTCGTTTGTTAATAATTCTACCGTAGCCAATCCGGAGTGTTGGAAATTGTATCTGTATGGGAATGTCCGAAATAGATCTACAGAAGGAAAATTATTTGCCCTAACAAAAAGGTAATTTTCGTGCAATTGGAAGTTTATTTTCTATAAAATAACAGGTGCCGAAGATCAACTGACTGAGGAAATTTTCGATCCGACCTGTGATCCAACTTCCAACTTCACCATTAACGCCCCGACTTCGTCGCCAGTCAGAAGTCGGACCCTCAAGTGGTCCCACTAGATATTCCGACTCGTACCACTAGTTGTCCAACTAATCCAACTAGCCCACTCACGGTCCAATTTCAGATCCAACTGCAGAAGTTGGACCACTAGTCGGAGTAATGCAGGCCATTCACGTTCCGACTTGTGGTACGACTAGTGGTCCAACTTTTGCAGTTGGATCTGAAATCGGACCGTGAGTGGGCTAGTTGGATTAGTTGGACAACTAGTGGTACGACTCAGTGGGACGACTTGAAGATCCGACTTCCGACTGCGACGAAGTCGGAGCGTGAATGGTGAAGTTGGAAGTCGGATCACAGGTTGGATAGAAAATTTCCTCAGTCAGTTGACCTTCGGCACCTGTTACGTATTAGATTTCCATGAAATACTTTACGCAAAGATCTCTAGTTCGCGAATATTTAATAGCAAATAAACTTTCAATTGCACGAAAATTACCTTTTTGTTAGGGCAAATCATTTGCCTTTCTGTAGATCTATTTCGGACATTCCCATACAGGTAAATTTCCGATACTCCGGATTGGCTACGGAAGAATTATCAACAAACAATGAAAATTAAATCATAGTTGTAGCAAAAGATCCCTAGTTCGCAAAAAATTAATAGAAAATAACTTTCAATTGCACGAAAAATTATTCCTATTAAAAATATACGACACACACACACAACAAAATAAATCTCACAGCTCCAGTTTAAAACAAATAAATTATAGATTTTATACCTACACAAATCTTTAAAAACTATAATTTTTTTCTACATCTTAAAAAGTCATAAAAATCAAGAGTTTAAAAAATTAATTAGTTCAGCCCTAGACAAATAACTAGAGAAACGAAACCTAATTTTTGAAACATACTTATCATGACATACATATAAGGATAACAAGCACAATGCTGCTATTTTCTTGCTTGGACAATGCTTAGACAATGGCTGTCTAAGACAGGCCATTCACGTTCGACTTGTGGTCCCACTTAGTAGGACTACTAGTTGGATGTTCGTCTCCACTCACGCTCCGACTTCCTATCCAACTAGCGGTCCAACTTCAGTTCTAGGTTGTTTTCACGATGGTGTACATCGCTTAACCAAATAATGTATCGAATAAACACTACGCAAAATATAATTAGGAGGAGGAAAATGGCAGCATTGTGCTTGTTATCCTTATATGTGTCTTATGATACGTCTGTTTCAAAATTAGGTTTCGTTTCTCTAGTTATTTGTCTAGGGCTGAACTAATTAATTTTTTTAACTCTTGATTTTTATGACTTTTTAAGATGTAGTAAAAAATTATAGTTTTTAAAGATTTGTGTAGGTATAAAATCTATAATTTATTTGTTTTAAACTGGAGCTGGGATTTATTTTGTTGTGTGTGTGTGTCGTATATTTTTAATAGGAATAATTTTTCGTGCAATTGAAAGTTATTTTCTATTATTTTTTTGCGAACTAGTGATCTTTTGCTACAACTATGATTTAATTTTCATTGTTTGTTGATAATTCTTCCGTAGCCAATCCGGAGTATCGGAAATTTACCTGTATGGGAATGTCCGAAATAGGTCTACAGAAAGGCAAATGATTTGCCCTAACAAAAAGGTAATTTTCGTGCAATTGAAAGTTTATTTTCTATTAAATATTCGCGAACTAGAGATCTTTGCGTAAAGTATTTCATGGAAATCTAATACGTAACAGGTGCCGAAGGTGAACTGACTGAGGAAATTTTCTATTCAACGTGTGATCCGACTTCCAACTTTACCATTCACGCTCCGACTTCGTCGGCAGTCGGAAGTCGGATCTTTAAGTCGTCCCACTAGATGTTTTGAGTCGTACACTAGTTGTCCAACTAATCCAACTAACCCACTCACGGTCCAATTTCAGATCCAACTGCAGAAGTTGGACCACTAGTCGTACCACAAGTCGGAACGTGAATGGCTTGCATAAAGTTGGAACGTGAATGGCCTGTCTTAGTAGTAATTATAGTCATACAAAACCTGTATTCTTATAATAAAATCATCAAAAATCGATATTTTAAAACATTATTTTTCAATCGTTTGGCAACTTTGGAATTAGCTCTGTTCCAATTCCGACCCACAGATAACCGTAAAACTCGTTTTTGCTTTTGGATTGCCACTGGATTTTTATACGTCTTTTCCCACTTTTCCGCCTTTAAACGATGAATCACTCTTCCAAATAGTGGAATTATAGTTAGGATGGAAATAAAATTTTCCAGGCTTTGACCAAGGTTTTCACAGAATGCATCTTTCAAAGAAAAATTCCTTCTCAATATAACAATGCAGTCATTATTTTATTACACAAACAAGGGGACGTAAAAGATATAAAAAAACTACTGTTCCTAATTACTATCAGCCTAGAAAATAAGCTGGATTTAGATTGGGATACAGCACTAACGAGCGCTTACTAGTGATAAAGAATCTGATAAAGAAGTCTGCAGAATACAACAATCCTAACTATTTACCATGACATAAAGCCATGATATATTAAAGCATGGCCTTTAGTGCTAAAAGAAATGTAATATTTTTAAAAAAATTTCGATTTAAAATCATACAATATTCCGAAATTACTAAAAGGATTAAAAATCAAAGGATACTAATGGTATTAAGAAAGAATTTATCAGGAAACTAACAACAAAACCTTTACATGGTATTTCGAGTTCTAAAATGTATACAAACTTGCCTGTTACAGTCTTTTTCATAATTTGTTTTACATACAACAGGATGGGAAGCAATACCACAGAGCCGAAGAAGTGTGAAAGAAAACCATAACAATCCCCTCCATATAAACGAACTGGTAGCAGAAAAAAGGAAAGCTTGACGCATATGGCAGCAAACGAGAAATACACTAAATAAAACGTACCTTCACAGGAGAAGTCATCGACTAAATAGAGCATTACTTGAAGAAATAAAAGACTCTCTCCAGTTTTATGTTTCGAACCTCTCACATGAAGACCAGTCTATATGGAAAGCTAAAAAAGATTTAAACGACCGACAATAACAAATTCACCTTTAAGAAAAACAGACATGACCTGGGCCCGCACAAACAAAGAAAAAAAACACAACAGTATACGCAGAACATCTTGCAACTGCATTCGCAGCACCAGATACTAATAACGATGAAGATGATGATATAAGAATGTATCTCGAAACTGCATGTCAACTATCTTTTCTTGCGACATTTACTTCAACAGACATTTGACAACAAATAAAAATAATAAATCCTAAGAAAACTCCTAGCTAAGATTTGATAAAAGGAGAATTACTTCAGAAGCTACCAAGAAAAGCAGTGCTGTTATTAACAATAATATACAACAGCATACTACGTCTTTGATACTTTCCAATACAATGGAAATTTGCTCAAATTACTATGATTACGAAACCTGGTAAGCCCGCAAAGCAAACAAATTCATATCGTCCTATAAGCCTTCTCCCAATAATGTCGATAGTATTAGAAAGGCTACTATTTCGTAAAATCGAGCAAGTTATTCCCATAAACGAAATTATACCACACCAATTCGGATTTAAACGTGAATACTCAACCATCCAACAATGCTACAGAATAGTAAATATAATTAAAACAACTCTCGAAGAGAAAAAGTTTTGCGCTTACTAGTGATAAAAGTTTCTAGATATAAAGCAGGCATTTGATAGAGTATGGCATAAAGGTCTCGTCTACAAACTGAAATTACACCTAACAGACCAACTATACTTTATATTAAAATCATATTTTACTGACCGTTACTTCCAAGTCAAAATTGAAGACTAAAGCTACCTAAATTACCACATCATACAATCTAGCGTACCTCAAGGTAGCGTTTTGGGCCCATTTCTGTATCTGATATTTACAGCAGAAGTTCTAACTAGTAATGACACCTTTTTAGCTACATTTGCCTATTACACGTGAATCTTGGCAGTAGATATCGACCCTAATGTAGTTACAAAACTGACTTAAGCGATGGAAAATCAGTGTTAATGCTAGCAAATCAGTACAAATTACTTATAAAACAAGAAAATCTACATGTCCACAAGTTTATATTAATAATATTCCCATTCCTATAAAACCAGTTGTCAAATACTTGGGAATTCATCTGGATGAAAAACTTACAGAGACAATGCACATTAAAACTAAACGCAAACAACTAGATCTTAAACTATAAAATATTAACTCGCTATTTAACAAAAGGTCTCAGTTATCTCTTGAAAATAAATTGCTTCTCTACAAAGCTATACTTATACCAGTTTGGACATATGAAATAGAACTATGGGGCTGTAGTAAACCTTTAAATACGAAGATAATTTAAACATTCCAATCCAAAATACTCCATACGATGTAAAGCTCCACGGTACGTATCTAACCAAACATTTTATAATGATCTGGACATCCCATTACTTAAGGACATAATAAAGAATCACTCAATAAAATATTAAAAAAGCACCGCTCATCACAACAACGAACTCATAAATAATTTATTTATCCAACCACTTGCTGAAATAAAATTAAAGAGGGTATGGCCAGAAGACCTACCGTAATAATACTTAGAGAACCGTCACTGGACGGTACCTAATTCACGTTAATTTACTTAAAGACTATTTACTTATTACTCTGTGTATAAAGTAGATTGTAAACATGCAATGTAACAATAAAAAAATTGTTTAAATATCTCACTTGTAGGTGTAGGTAATTGTTGTCTCAACAGTTCTAGAGATAGTAGAAAAAATTGGGTAAGATATATTTACCTGATACTACCATATCCATATACTTCATGTTCACAAGAGCTTCGTATGTTAATTTTCCATTACAATTTTCTATAGTTTCTTTAACTTCTTCTCTAAGTTTTTCTTGAATATCTGGATTGGCACAAAGTTCATATCCTAAGAAACTCATTAAAGTAGAACTGGAATCGAAACCAGCAAAGAAGAAGACAAGAGCTTGGGCCACGATGTCTTCATTGGTGATATCAGTTTTTATTTCAGCTGAAAATTATAATACTATAGGTCAGCAAAAAGTGCATTTAACAAAATAAAGAGTGTTCTTTGTTGTCTAAAGCACATCACAATGTTGGTGGTTTTATATTATAGTTTGGAAGCGTGCACTCAAAAGAAATATATTACAGACCCACTGGAAGTATTCGAATTGTGTGCCCATAGAAAAATATCAAGAATGAGTTAAGAAGATCCCGTCAGAAATGTCAAGCTGTTGGGGTAAATGGAAATAAGTAGACAGAAAGAGAGAGAACAAGGGAGTGAGAGAGATAGAGAAGTGCCATATACTATTAAAATTAGAAAGTTACATTTAAAACATGTCATGTTTTAAATGAGAGGTGAATTTGGTAATACATGAAAAAATACAGGGAAAGAGCAGCCAACGGAGAAGACAAATTTCGTGGTTGAATAACTTGAGTGTGTGATGTAGTTCCATTTAACTATTTAGAGCGTTAACATCCAAGTAGAGCACTTCCGTGATGATTGAGGACTTGTTATAGGAGATGGTACATTTTGTCAACAAATATGAGGCACTTGATAGCGTTGAATTTAAACTTTCAATACTTTCACATTATAAACGATCTCAGATCACGGGAAATACTTCTAAGACGACATTGGGTGGAATTAGTAGCTAAAGTTGGGTAGTTTCATAAAAATTGAAAAAAATATAAATTGAAATATAAAAATAAAAATAAACGTGTGCAATTAAAAAGAAGGAGTTGTAAATATTTTAGATTGCCTCATACTTTTTGCCAAAATTTAAAAATGGAAATTCAATCTAAACCTTTTGAAGATTGGACTATAACAATAAAGCATGTTTAAAATTTCTTTAAATTATTCCCCTTAAAAAAATACTTTCACGCTACCTATGTCTATATAATTTTGTTAAAAGCCTTACAAATAACCCAACAGTAACGAGCGATTTGTTATGCTTTTTTTAACAATGAAATAACTTCGCCAAATCTTCCCTGTTCTCTTTATCTAACCTTTGCTAAATACAAATTTTTCATAGTTACAAAGGCATCAGTGCCTAGTGTGAAATCTCCGGTCTATCTTCTCAGAAAACAGAAGAGTTGTTTTTCGGAAAATTATTTCTGTCTGGAGAGAGTGGCTAGGTTACAAAAATGACCACAGTAGCCCTGCTATTTAAATATCAATTTAGCGTGGCACCCTTTAGCTAATACTCCCACTCCATTTATCTTTAGCTTGCCTAAGTTCTTGCCTGTTGAATTTAAATGTGCGGGAGTATGTCTAACACCCAAGAAACAAGTAAAGTATCTAGGAGTGACATTGCACCAGAATGGAAAATAGGGGGAGCACGTTCGGGAGGTGGTCCGAAAGGCTGCGAATAGTGCGGCTGCGTTGAGGAGAGTGATGCCGAACATTGGAGGATCCAGACCAGGAGGGTCTCACACGGTGTTGTACAGTCTATCGTCCTCTACGCGGCACCATTCTGGAGCGAGGCAGTAGAGATACCGGCCTATAGGAGTCTTATGAAACGAGTAGACAGAACAAGTCTGTTGCGAGTGGCATGCGCCTATAGGACTGTGTCTGCGGCAGCCTTATGGGCCATCACTGGATGTATTCCGTTGCATGTTTTGGCGGTGGAAAGAAAAGAGCTTTATGAGAGAAGAGGCCCAAACCTTACTGTGGCTGAGAGAAGATAGGTAAGGGAAAGGTCAGTTGTAAGATGGCAAGAAGAATGGAACAATACGGAGGATGTGGCACAGTGGACGAAAATGCTGATCCCGAACATAAGAGCTTGGGTGGACTGTGGCCACAGGCGACTGGATTATTTCCTGACGCAGGTGCTCACAGGACACGGGTGTTTTAGGGCCTACCTTTATAGGATCGGAAAGGCTGATACAGATGAATGCCTATATTGTGAATACTCGGACACTGTGACACATACGATGTTAGATTGCAGCAGATGGATAGTGGAAAGGAACAGAATGGAGAGAGAGACAGGTGTGAATTTTGTTACAGTGAGAGAAATGATTGAGAGAATGATTGAAAATAAATTAGGTTGGATTAACATACACAGTTATATCCGTACAGTGATCAAGAAAAAGGAAGAGGAAGAAAGACAGTTGGACCAACGGCAAAGGTAGAGTGAATGATGCTGAAAGGTGAAGTTAGAACAGTGGGTCACACTTTTTGAGTTAGAATGCGTGAGTTTGACTGTGGGGAAGGAGGAAATGCCCTTCTGGGAATGATGCCGAACTAGGAGTGTGGATGTGTATGAATGGAGAATGAATGAATAAAGGTAGTGCTTCGGAAGTGATGCCGGCCTTACAGCGGCCATTCCGCTTCCGGATCGCTGGATGACAGAGGAGGGTCTGGTTTAGCAGGTAGGCGTTCGGCGTAGACTCGGCGACGAGAGGGCATTTTAAAGTACCTCGGGAACTATCGCCGGGAGTACGAATCCTGCACTAAGGTTAGTCAGGCGGCGTCCTGGACTGAGATGTCTTTTGAAGATTCCAGACCTCCCCTCCCTCTATAAAGACGAAAAAAAAAGTGTATTTTCAATTCACCCTTATCTATATAAAATATCTTTACACAGTGAGTCCTTTATTAACTATTATCTCTTTTGTCAAACAGACGTGTTCCAATTCTAAGAAACGAAGTCAATTCTGTTTGCCGATTATTCATTATCATCATTCATCGTTCATCGTTCATCTCTACCTTCATTCGACGCCATCGTTCATCGTTCATCTTTACCTTCATTCATCTCTACGATCATTCGTCTCTACGTTCATTTGTCTCTGTATTTATCTCTACTACCTAGTACTACCTGTGCTGTTCCTGTCTGGCTGTTTCTCTGTTCGTCTGCCGAAACCAATTCAAGGTATTACGGATTGAAAACCGTAATTCGTTGCTGTACCTACCTGTTGCCAGGACCAAGTGTCGAGTGACTTTATTGAGGGCCTAACGCCATTACCAATGTCAACCTGTGGCCTAATAAATAGTGAGTAATAAATTTTATTGACTAAAGCTCAACTTTGATACCTAAATCGTAAGAAGTTGATTTCTAACATTCAGTTTAGTGATCTTGCTATTTATTGTTAAACAGAATGAACTATTTTGCGTATAAATTTACGATATAATATATGTATAAATTACGAACCATTTCTTTTACATTGATATAGGCTATATTTAAGATAAATATGAATATATTTGAGGTGATAACATTCAATAAAAATTTAGTAAATGTTTACGTATTCTCAAGGCATAATAATAATTTATTTGACGAATATTGACAATTATAATATTCCTTGTTTTTTTCTATTTTTAAGAATACTACATTATACAGAATTATTTTCCAAAAAAAGATATTTTTTGTTGTATTCGATTAAAAATTGATCAATCACTTATCTCGTGTCATTTAACTGTGAGGGAAAAGTTGTTTTTGGCGACGTGCAAGTACTTGGAGGGGATACGAGAAACGATCGTGCGCGAGTAGCGGAGAAATTTTGCATTTTTTACTGTACATTTCATAGATTTCATAAATTCAGATTGTCAATTGTCACATTTCATATTCGTTTTGTTTTATTCGTTTCCATCTTCGAAGCACTAATCTACTACAAAGAGAACAGTGGATTTATATCATAAAAAAAGCATAAGTAACATAACCTAAATTATGCATTATTCTTGCGCCAGATTTTAAAGTCAGTTTGAAATAAATAATAAATAAAAGTTCACTTTTAAGTGTAAATTTTAGTTTCATAACACTCACTTAGAGTTCATTTTAACTCAAAAATCAAGTTTATTGTTGTAAAATGTAAATTTTATTTTGAAGTTTACAAGAATGCATCAAGTTCAAGTTTTTCTGAAGATACATTAAGATATATTCGCTGTCCAAAAGTTTACAGGGAAAGAATTAATTGTTCAAACCAATATGATGATATTATCATGGGCTTAACCTGCTAATTTATGCATTAGCATTATTTATGGTAATTTATTTTTCTTAATTCTTCCATTATTTTTTGACATTTCCCACTACTAAAGCTTTTCCCTTTGACTCAGTGCTTGGTTGAAAAGTTATTTGGTGATTTACTGTCTCAAATCCAGTTTTTATTATTGAATCCATATTAACAGTAATGCTGTAATTCAATAATATATTTATTTATATTTACGCTACATCAACGTTTACCTTTTAATAACATACCGACATTGACATAACCTCAATCTTACTTTTTCTTCTTATTCTTTTTTGGGGCCACGTCCTTGTAAGGTATCCGGTTACCTCGATCTAAAATAAAAGCGCAGTAAATGTTATGATATGAATTTATATTTTTATGCAAGGTGTATCTCTTTCAGGCATTTTTATTGATTTATATTATACTTTGTTTTATCGTATAACTAGTGTATATGTGTCGAAATATTAAGAGTGTACCGCACAATCTTTTGTAATACCTTTTCTCTCACGGTTTTTCTCGCGTGACTATTTTAACCCTATCTTACCTTTCTTGTTATCTTCTTCTATATGTCTCTGTATCTTCAGTATTTGTCTAACTGATTCTTTATATTTGAGCTGTAATAAGAGCCCCGATCAAGATACCTCTACCAGATCGAAGCCCGAGCCTAGTACCGTTTTTTGTATAACCTCTAATCTGTCATCAAAGAGGGGTACAACAATGGAAATTCTATGGTGGCTGGTCAACAGAAATACTACATTTTACAGATCTCATTAGAATCCTAAAAAATTGCAAAAGTTGCCTTACGTTTATCCATTGCATCTACAGCTGCACTTTTCACCTTAAAAACGCATTTTGATTTTTGTCGATAGGACACTGATCGAAAAGTATCGAATTTTACAGTCGAACACACCAAAAGTGTAAATAAACGTTTTTGTTAAAAATTATCTTAGCTACATTTGTTGATTGAAAAATTTTTTCCACGGCGGATAAATTCTTGATAAATGGATGATTTATGTTTTTTTCACCCGTATTGGGATGTTTTAGGGGGAAGCCTGGGTGTAGAGGTTACAAATTTTTTTAGTCTTTTTCTCATCTCAAAATTAACATTCTTGGCAAAACTCAGCTAGTTGGTATGATTTTTAGAGGATCACTGGCATTTTCGACCATGACGACTGCAGTATGATGCTAATTAGTAACATACTTAAATAATGGCGTAATCTCGGTCATAAAATTTTTATCATTTTTAGTGTATATCTGGAATAGTAGCACTTTATTCCGATAGCTTCAATACCACATTAAAGAAAAATAACTTAGATAAAACTTACACTGTAGATGTTCTTCAACAGTAGCATACCCAGTATCAGTAGTAGTTTGCTGTTCATCTGCTTTTGAGTTTCCTTTTCTTGCTTCTAACAGTAAATGAATCATATCTGGCCTCACTAGTCCTTTTTCTTCTCTCATTTTAATAGAATCTTCAATAACTTTGGTAAAGAAACCTCCAATTTCTTCTTGGATAATTCGAATGTTTAAAAGCTACAAATCATAATATGTATATGAAATAAACATTGATCTTCACGACTAATATTTGTTTACTACATTAAATAAAAAACAAAAAGATCTAATAATAAAATAATGTTTGCTAAATAATAATTTCTAATAGGTCTCTTGATTAACTAGTTTGGCATCCATGAGAAATTATACGATAGAGTATGTTTTAACTGTGGTGGCGGAAATTTCTAGGAACGGTAAAGCCTCACCAAACAAAGCAGTGGCGTTCCAAAAAATACTTATGATTTAAATCAAATTGTTAAAGATAGGTACACACAATTTAATAAACAATGATATTAGATTATATTTTTGGCAATATTGTACAATATTTTAATACATATTATTATAATATATCACATACATGTATTGTCTGTATGTAAAACCACAGATATGTATTACAGAATGCAGTATTAATAAATATTAATTACAAAGATTGTTTTAATTTTAAAACCTTTATTATTTTTATTATTAATCAATTAAACGTCACAAAGTTAAATAAAAGAATATACGAAATTATTGTAATAAAGTAAAAAAATAATACATACATACAAGACAGTTTGGAAAACTTATATTCACATAGATTCCGTAGGTATATCGTAATGTTAAATTATATTATTCACTATCGTAATCAGATGAACTGTTGTCGCCACTAAAATCATTTAAATTATTCCTTAATTCTTTCGTAATTACATACACTTTCCAAATACTTATCTTCAACCTTCACAACATATCCATACACTTTCTTCCAGTTATCTACAGTTACTCTAGCAAATTCTTGTTCCACCAACACTTTTACGTCTTCTAACTACGTTATGTTTTGCAACTTTATTTTTTATTTGCTCTCAAACCATTTCTATAGGGTTTAAGTCTGGATGGTATGGCGGAAGTTTTAAAAAAACATGTCCACACTCTTGCAGCACTTTGTCAAAAGTATATTAAATATGATCTTGTTTGTGTCGTTTGATGATTTCATACAATTGCGGTTTGAACATTGTCATTAAAAATGGTAAATTCTTTTCTGTCAACTTAGATGTATCCATTTTTTTAGAATTACTGGTGGTTGCTTTATTAATTAGTACATTATGATATAACCTATTATCAGTAGCAACAGATTCAATGCAAATTGATAATTAACTGTTCTTTCATCCATTTTTCATAATTTTCTCATCATGATAATGCCCTGTCTTAGCTCCTGACTTAAAAATTAAAAGGATATTCTTTATAAAACTGTTCTCCTCACCACCATGTACGATAACCAACCTTCTTCCTTTTGAAATGTTTTTCAACAATCCTTTGACACTGTCAGCTATTTGGCGTAGTTGTCCTGCATGAACATATGTTTCATCAACGTATACAATTGACTTACCTTCGCTTCTGTAATATTTAATTTTGTCCAAATATTTAATGCGTAGATTAAATTAATAAACAACGATTATCTTTCGTTTTTTTCCATTTAAATCCCAAATTTTTCACAATTCTGTAGAGAGAACTCACACTTCAAATCAACTTGTACAACTCTTCAAGCCTTTTCTGCAAAAGCTTCAATGATACACGACAACGTTCGGTCTCATAAAAACGATGAATGGTATTTCTAATAAACGATTTGTCATATTACCTCAAGTCTCTCATGGTTGCTTTCCTTTTAGCAAGAGTTGTAGCTGGAAATTTTAGTCTATTATTTGACTTTGCGTTTGCTAACATACTCGCTTGTTGAATGGTCCTTTCTACTATACATAAAAATACTCCAGTAGCTTCACTCACACGTTGTTTAATACTGGTTCGATTATCTTCAGGAAATAGTATTTGCATATATTTAAATACATTCTAAACTATTCCTCTGAATTCTGGTGTCAATCTGATCTGTTAATCTAACACTGTACACTTAACCATCTCCATTCTACAAAATAGTCCTAACACGCTTGGTACCACCTTTCTTTTGAAATCCAGTGACTAGAAATTCTCGGAAATAATCCTTATCAGTTCTTTGTATGTCCTTAACGAGTCGTTAAGGAGTCATTAACAATGACTTTAGAATTACCTATACTAAATTAGAAATAAAAAATTAACTTTTACCAAACTTTATACAGTATCAATTAAAGCTGGTATTATAACAAACAAAAAGTTTGATATTTATAAAACAATCTATGTACAATCAAAGTCCATTTATTATTTAAGTGAGTGATAATTTTGTAATTATTGGGATTTCAAATAATTTAATTTGTTTAATATTGCAACGCCACTGCATGGGTCTGATCATAGATATTCTATTGTCCGCGCGATTAACTATTTCGTGGAAAGGCTCGCCACTCGATTTGAAATAAGCTGTATCTTATATTATGTATCCCTATATTTACCTTAGCTATATTTGGTACAAACATGTTAAAAAGAACACTACAACAAAGCAGTCCAAAAACTCATCTAAACAATAATAGTGAACAGCTTACAGAAAAAATAACAGGTCGTAAATGTTGATTGTAGTGATGAAGAGTGTATTATTAATATCCTAAAGAGCATAAACATTGGCGCAATAGCACCAATAACAATTAATGTATCCCGGAAGAAAAGGAAAGTGAAATATTTGTTGACGCCAATGATGGTTTTTTATTCACCTTGCCCTCAGACAATATGAGTTAAATGCTGAATCTTGAAAATGTAACAGTTACTATTTGCCTAATGGAGATAAGCAGCTCATATGCAATGGATAAAACCTTACATAAATTGGAAGACCCAAATCTAAATATTGGCAATAAAACAGTTGAACAGTTGGAGAATTACAAATATAATACACCTAATCAAACTGAACTTTGTATTGATATTATTAATAATAATGACATTGTTGATAATATTATTAGCGATGAGCAATCAGATAACAATAAAGAGTATAGGCTCAATAAATGTGAACATAAAATTGACAATGACTTTGATCAGAATTCGAATAAAATATCAAGTAAAACCAAACGCAAGAAATGACACCAAGTGAATCAACAAACTTGCAACATTAGAAAAAATATAACAGCCAGAAAATTAGGAAAGGAATATTGCGGTAAAAGAAAAAAAATGGATCAAACGTATATAATATAAAAAAGCTGCTAGAGTATCTATCTTCAGTATCTTCTCTCTACTATAAAATGAAGTTATCTGTCCACAACTTTACAATTTGTAACGCAAACACCAAGGAAGGATTCTGTTTCATCTGGAATAAGACAGAGGGCGGTTTGACTTCCAATGAATTTTCAAAAATAATTTCAGATTTTGTTTTGCCTTTACCCGAGGGAAAAAATTGTTTTGTACAACGACGCGACGGTTATTCGTACAAGAACCGTTGGTGTACACCAGTCAATGCACTTCTTCATATTGCATCTACGAACAATGTAATAATTGAATAACTCAATGCACTCCTGCATTGAACGGTAGTTAAAAAATTATATACATGATACTGAAATGATCTCCTCAAAGAAAACAAACTAGCAAATAACGATTTTAGATATAAAACGCTACACTTTTTAAGGAGTTATGCATGTGACTGTTTAAAAAAATAAAGCAGATAACACGTTCCTTTACACCAAACTACCCTGCTATCAAAGATGATAACGGAACTCTACTCACTTCTAAAAAGATATTTTACACAGATGGAAAGAATACTCTGGACGACTGATGATGGAGGAAAGCACAGACGCCCCATCACAACAAGAAGATGCCAGTTTTGCGACGGAACCTGACGTACTCAAAAGTGAAGTTGAAGCAGCAATTATGAGGCAAAAAAGTCAAAAAGCTGCCGGTCCAGATAACATACCTATTGAAATGATTTGGGCCCTAGATGACGTTGGAGTGGATATAATACATCAAATTTGTCCAAGAGTGTGGGAGACAGGTAAATGGCCTGAGGACTGGACACAATCACTATATATTCCCATACATAAAAAGGGAGCGAAAGATTTATGTAGCAATTATGGCACAATTGCTTTAATTGCGCATTGCAGTAAGATACTCTTACACATAATTCTCGAGAGGATAAAGCCCTTTTTACTACCTAACATTGCGGAGGAACAAGCAGGTTTCGTCCCAGGACGTGGTACTAGAGAACAAATTTTAAACGTACGGCAGATTGTAGAAAAATCCAGAGAATTCAACATCACAACATATTTGTGCTTCATAGATTATAGTAAAGCTTTCGATTTGGTCAACTGGAGTAAAATGTGGCAGGTTTTGTCTGAAATGGGAGTCCCTAATCATCTGATACTGCTAATTAAAAGCCTGTACAATAACAATTATGCCAGAGTTAGAATAGATGGGGAACTAACTGACAGTTTCAGGGTCACAAAGGGCGTGAGACAAGGCTGCATACTAAGCCCAATTTTATTTAACATCTATGGTGAATGGATAATGCGGAAAGCTACTGAGGACTGGAACGGTGGCATCACCATTGGCGGGAAGAAGATTTGCAACTTGAGATATGCAGATGATACTACTATCCTCGCTAGTTCTGAAACTGAATTAATTCACCTGCTACAACGGATAGAAGACGTAAGCTTAACGATGGGCCTTAAAATCAACAGGGATAAAACGAGAATCATGATAATTGACAGAGCTAACAACAATCAAAATCATCTGGTTAGGATAAACAATATCGCTGTTGTAGATAAATTTGTGTATCTGGGCTCATTAATAACCAACAAAGGAGGCTGTACTGAAGAAATAAAGCGGCGGTCAGCAATCGCAAAAAGCGCTATGGCAAAATTAACAAAAATTTGGAAAAGCCATGAAATTACCACCGATACAAAAATGAGACTAGTAAGAAGTCTAGTTTTTCCAGTTTTTACTTATGCATCGGAATGCTGGAACCTTACTGAGAAAGACAAAAAGAACATAGATGTATTTGAGATGTACTGCTGGAGACGAATGCTGAGAATACCATGGGTGGCCCGAAGAACAAATGAATCCATACTGGTCCAGCTAAACATAAAGAAAAGACTAAGAACACAAAT